GGAAAATGGATGGATGGATGGATAATGAAGAACTGTTGAGAATTAATGTATTTGGCAAGTTGCAAGTATATTGATATCTAATGCATCAGTAATATATTGTTTCTGCCAAAATATTTGAGCCAGTACGATATCCACTCACAGTAGTGGCTATGGCATTGTTATACTTTTTATAGTTATATTTACCCAAATCCACTACTGTTAAAATGTAGTATTTCTTTCATTTAAAATAAAAAAAATATTTTGCCTCTGAACATAATTCAGCCAGGGATTACATTTCCTACCAAACAGGTTTGCTGTTGCAGTTTAATTGCATTTAAAGGCACGGCTGCAAAAATTGCTGGATGATTCAGCATAAACTTTTGGTAGTGAAGGGATAAATCCTACTGACTATCAGACATAAACATTAACGATTAATCTGGTGCCACTAGGAGGTTAAAGCTTAATGAAAAAGGATTTCCTGTTGGATGGTAAGTGTAGGATCCATCTGCTCTGGAGCCTGGCCCATGCTGGAGACTAAAACTCAGAACATGTCTGCCTCTGCTACATTGATCTTGAACATTTCTTTTACCCAAACGGCCCACCTGTTGGAGTGAGGTTAGTCTTGTTGGGGTAGAGATTCTTAATGATTATAGCAACATCCTGTAGGGCCTCCACAGCCTGGACCTGCTGGGTGAAGCTGTTGAGCATGGCCTGACCACAGCCCAGTAAATAGGCTTCCAGAATCACAGCCATGCGCTGGCGGAAGTACGGACATCCTGCCACCTCACTGCGGACATACCAGAAGAAGAAGTGGCCGATTCTCTTGCTCTGCAGGAAACAGTTGAGGAGAGGTGAGACTGTTAGAGAGCCTGGCGCAGACACAGATGTACCTGCAGTCCACATTTTACTGCAGAGACACATTTTCTTACCACAGTGTGACTTGTCAAAGTGAAAATAACATCCTAAATGAAGCACAGCGGGGTGAAATCTTTATCTATTATACATGACTTAAAGGTTCCCTGTGCATGTGCCTTTATGGATTACTTTCTTAAATGAATGGTTTCTCATGTTCCAGGACACACACTGTTCCACTGGTGCTAACATACCATGGTATGCAGCAGTGCGCCAGAGGAGACCAAGAAGAAGACTGCTATCAAGTACATATGGTGAGTAACAGTGAATGTAAATATAACTTTTGTTTATTTACAAGGAAACTCCACAGGGCACAAATGCAGGAAAAAAGCTCTAAGCTAAAAAGCATTCAGTAAAACTGTTCTTTTTTTCCAGAATATTTGCCAGTTTGTAGTACAATGTATAACTGCAGTAAGGGCAAAAAAAAGAAAAGTGCAGCTTCTAAAGCCCCAAGCACTAAAGTATCATTCAGACTGTATGAAATGAGAGTACACCAATAGAATTATAGAGCACGGCAGAAATTTAACTATAACTGAAGGATTGTGGGTATTTCTGAGCAGTGTTCTGTGCATCATAGCTGAACTTTAAGAGAATTAAATGGCAGTTTCTCTCGCAAATGATCGAGTTTCATTCAACCCTAAACAAATATTATTAGTGGTATTTTAAACATTTCTAATAATTGCCCTTGTTCTGTACAAAAGCAGGATGTAAAGTTAATATATGAAACTCTAAACTCTTGATGAACTTTTTTGAGAAGAAAATTGGCTCCAATTTGCATGCTGGTGCATCTGTATCTTTAAACACTACCTATCTGGTTACCCCAAAATAGATCTTTAGCAGCTTTTCAGTGACATAGTGCATTAAATAAATATAAAATAAATAATTATTAATTGTTTTAATTAATCATGTATATTAAATTAAAACCAAATTTTTAGAAATGCACTTTCAAAGGGGGAAGTGGCAAGAGAAATGTCAAAATGATAAGCTAACATCCTTATATACTAATCGTGATATAGTATGATTTATGTTGTGTACCCTGAAAGTTAGGATGCAGCATGACTCACCCGCAGAGCTCTTTGGATGAGGTACCGAGCAAGGAAACTGTCATGGTAAGGTTCCACTTTAAGGGTCTGTATGAATAGAAAGGACAGAGAAATTATAATGTTATCAAACCTCACATTACACAAACACTACAATAAAATGGGATGTTCACAAGCAGTGTGTTTATTCCAGCATGAACATATTGTGAGACTATAGCACACAACCACACCTAGGCACTTGTAGACAACATAATGTAGTGCAATTCAACTGCCACCTTCTTCCCACTCTTTGTGTATTAGTGTACACAAGCTTATAAAATACAGTGCTCACAGTAATATGTATGCCATCTTGACTATACAGTAATTTGCTTCAAGTCCCACATTCCCTGGTCTCTGGTACAGTCCTGCAGTCATGCACCAAGTTTTCTGTGTATCGATTAGGCTATATTGTACAAACAGTAACTGGATTCATTTTGTAAGCAGTGCCAAATGAAAAAATAATGGTCTCATATTTTTTATTGTTATCACTTCTTTTACTAACAGTATTAAAGGTCTTAAAACCATGTTTTTACTTTTATAAATCCCTTCAAAAATTAACGCAAGAGTGCTTTTCTATAACAAAAAACACCAGCAAACTTGTAAGGAATAGAGTCAACACTGTTAGCTGCAGTTGTTAGCATTGTCTGACTATTGAGCAAACCAGGAAACACCCAATTAACTTCACTGGGTGTTTCCTGCAAGGCCAAGAGTTAGCATATAACTAAACTACTACTTTGTGGAGTTACAAGTTCAGGTCTAGCACGTTCTTGACTTGCACATCCTCCATGTAGTATTACCAAGCTACGTGAAAGCTGGTCCTGGAAAGTACCAGAGATTAAGCTAATGTTAGCGTCTCCGTCCTGCTCTTTATTGGATTTGACACCTGAATTATATTCTTTAATTAAGAATTTCAAGTGGTAAATCTGTCACTGCTGTCTTTGTAAACCAAATGTGTGTTGTACAGGAAATGAAATCACAGCAGCTGTAGCAACAGCAACAATGGAGTAAGCAAAATTATCTCCAGCTAACAGGCAGTGGACCCATTGCATCTGATTTCTGGGGTCTGGGACCCTGTTGCAGCTGCCTCTTTTGACCTGGTGGTTATCCAGCATTACTTGCTTTTTGGCCTATGGACAAACCTTTATGAGATGAGCTATAAGTTATTGAATTGTGTGACAATTAATTAGCTTTGATATTTTTCCTTTACCTCTGAGACAATAGGCATAATGCCTTTGCACTGATTTGCATAATAGTACATCACATCTTCTTCTTCTTTTGGCTGTTCTCGTTAGGGGTCACCACAGCGAATCATCTAGCAAAAATTGTATCAGTAGTGCTCTTTCTGGGCATGAAACCATACTGCTGCTCACAGATATCCACTTCCTTTCTTAGCCTAGCTTCTACTACTCTTTCTCATAGCTTCATTGTATGGCTCATCAATTCTATAACTTCCACACCTCTACAGGTATGTCATCTGGACCAACAGCCTTTCCACTCTTCATTCTCCTCAGAGCCTTCCTCACCTCATATATAATATAATATACAATATAATAGTACATCACATATTTTGTTATTTTCACAGTTCATTCGCACATACACTCTGCAAGTGTTCTGATGTATATGCATTTTTCAGATCAGCAGCAAACATTTCTGTCATGTCAAACACCTACCTGCACCAGCTGTAGCAAATACTTCAGTACATCATCATTGGACAGACTCTCCAGTCTCTGGACTGCAAGTCTCCTGACAGTCTCATCAGGAAAATCCATACTTAGCAGTTCCAGGGCCACTGTTAAATCAAGGTCTTCAGGATTCCAGTTTCCCAGTAGCCAGTGAACATCTTCAACCACTCTGTGATCCATCCAGTTGACACTGCGTAAGTAGTGGGGCAAACTTGAGGTATATCGTAGGCTTTCCTTCCGAAACCTTTTGAGGCCGGCCCTATTGGTGCTGGTGTCTTGAGATGAGGATTTGAGGCTTACAGTGTGCGTTGATAGGCTTTGGTGAGTTTTCAAATGTAGAGAGGAAGAATCTGTGCTGGAAAAGGTGGAAGGTGGTGAGGAATGAAAAGATTTTGTTGTGGATGGACTGTCGGAGCGTTCAGAGAGGCTAGAGCTATTTGGGAGAACCACAGGGAAGCTGTAGCGGTCCAGAAGGAAGCTGATGGCCATGGAGTCAGCTATGTCTGGGTTAGTAGCAGAGGACAGCTTGTCTGCCTGGTAGGTGAAGGCCCCTTCCTCCAGGTCAAGGTAGGACCACATGTACAGGGTGTAGGATCCCTGGCTAAGGACGGACCTGAAAAAATTAACAAGTGCTGTGAATGTGAATAAATGTGAGGAGACATCTATCTGTCTGTCTGTCTGTCTGTCTGTCTATCTGTTTATCTTTACATACATAGCCTTAAAATTATAAGCATGCTAGGTGTCCAGTGGCCAGAAAAGCCAAAAATGAGGGGAAACACAGTGAGGTGCAATTAATTAATTCATGATAAAGAGAGAATTAGTGAAAAATTTGTTGTGAGTGACAAGTGTTAGCTAACAGTATACAATGCTGTGTTATTTAACTTCACAATGTTGTTACGTTTACTGGCACATATGCCACTTACTGTCACCAATGTCTACACAGTGTGCTACAGGGAACTCAACTGCTATACTGTATATAACATTTATTTCATGACATTGTTCAAAAATGCAACTTTTCCCTCTGAATTTCTGCCCTCATGTCTTGTAAAACACATTACATTAAATACCAGTGTTTGAATGTCTAATTTTCATGAAATATAAGCTATAAATTCAGTAAGAAATTCCACTTCTAAAATGCTCTCTCATTATTAACAGGGGACCTTTTTTGCTACAATGTTATCCCTTTTTGAAACTACACTGAAAAGACACCCTGGCATCAAACAATTAAAATGGATATTCAAAAGAAACTGACCTGTGATCTATGAGGAGAAGATTGACAAAGTAGAGGACCTTCCCCTTCCCTTTCTGCAAGTCTGGTGATACTGGGGAGTCACCACCACTGGCATTGATAGTGAAGCCCAGTTTAACTCCACGTGGCAGGTCCCTAAGGAGAACATCAAAGTCCAACCACTCATTCCACAGTACTTCATCTGCAAAGGCCTTGGGAGAGGAGGACACTGAAGAGAGAACCTTGTTACCATAAAGTATAGAAGCTTCGACATAAACAGACTGAGGGCATTTGCTTGGAAGTGTTGGGATGTCAAAGCCAAGCAGTTTGACTCTGAGTTTCCTGTCGCAGTCCCACAAGGATATCATGAAGATGTCATCCAAATCCTTTCCCTCAAGACGGAGATCATTGTGGGAGCTGAACTGGCCACTGAAACCATCAACAAGTGGCCAGTCCACAAACTTGACAGTCTCCTCAATAAGCTGTGACACAGGGACCACAGACAGGTGGAGGCCTTGAATGTTTTTCAGGCACTGTCGAACCCAGAGGAAATCGCTGAGTGTGTGGTCTCCAGTTAAAAACTCCTCCCTCCCTGATACCTTTAACACTAGACTGTCGGAAGTGTCATAATGAATGCCCTGGTCTGCCATCACCCTTCTAAAAACTTTCAGAAGAACATCTGGTGTTGCACTTAAGTCCACCTGTATGCTGAAGCTGATCTTGTTCATGTAATGGAGGGTAACAGGAAGCTTTCTGTTTAGCCAGTCCTGTAGGTCAGCTGGAAAAGGGACACATGTTATCCAAGGCTCTGTTGCATACAACGTGTCATCCCGATTTCTTAGCTCTTGCCTTCTAGGAGCTGCCAGCTTCCTGCGAGTGAATGTGAGCTCACCAAGTCTGTCAGATGCTTCTTTCTCCAGGTCATACCCAATCAGGTAAGTCAGACACTGCTGTTGTTTCTCCTTCTCTTCTGAATCAACCGCTACCACAGGTTTTACCAGGATGTGTGCTGACAGACACTGAGAGTCATCATGTGACCATGGAATATCTAATGTCCGGATAACCTGACAATCATCATAGGCCTCGTACAAGTCATCCCCCCTAGGATATAGTAGATTATATTTGTCTGGGTCAAGGATTGCAAACGGGTCTGGTTGCCAGTTTTTTTCCTGGGCCTGAATGCAGAAAGAGAAATATTTAAAATTGTTGATGGTTGCAGCTTGATTATATGTAAAAAGAAAAAAAATGCAATTCTAACTGTAGTTGGAATAGAACAGCTAAAATACAGCTGAGTTGATTAGTTTTGCACATAGTGATAAACCATGTGAGAAAATAAAATTTTGACTTGACGATAATGTCAAGTCGATTTATCCTGATGGGGACATACCATGGGGGCATAAATGTGTCCACCAAATTTCATGAAAATCCTTTCAGTAGTTATCAAGACAGTTCAGTGAAAAACACAAATGTGAACTTCATGGTGACATTACAAAAAGAGTGAGGGGATCAGTAGGATTCACCCTCTGGGGACCATGACATCTGTACCAGATTTCAGGACAATTCATCCAGTAGGTGTTGAGGCATTTTAGTCTAGAACACAGTGCCATTCTTAGAGTCCCCAGGATTTTTCATGACTCTGTCTGTACTTCATAACCATTGCCTCTACCACCACCTGAACAAAATGTCAACAAATGTGCCTTAGTAAATATTTAAATGTGTCTGTAAATACATAAAATCCTCAGAAAGATTAAAAAAAAACAAAAACAAACAAACAAAAAATTGTTGAACACACTTGACCATCCAGTAGGGATTTGCCTACCTGCATGCAGATGCGTAGACGCAGCTGGTAGACACTGCACTGTGCAGGGACAATGACAGTCACAAACTCATTGTCCATACCGACCCTGTAATCATCAACACCAGGTGTCTGTGCTGGCCCAAGCTGAAGCTCACAGAGAAACCTCAGGTTGCTCTCAGAGCAGCTCTGAGGTGACATCCCTGATATATGATCTTCAGCAGGTAGACGGCCAGGCTGATCCACGAGCAATGCCGGATCCATTGATACTTTTAAGAATGCAAAACACTATCACTATCCTTGCAGTGTGATTCACAGGTTGTTTAATAATGAAGAAAATTGCTTAAAAAAGGCAAATCCTACAACAAGAAAGCAGCAATGCTTTCTGAAGAGTGGACTCTGTGTGAGTCTGCACCTGTGTGAGTGTGAGAGCCTTGGTGTTCCCTTTTCATGATGGCTTGGTGACTTCCTCATTCTTTTATACCACAGTTCACTAACACCATCATAAAGGCAAGTATCAACAAAGCATTTTTATCATGCCATAATGTGACTGACTCCTTGTTCTCTTTTTACACTTTGGTTAGAAATGATGCTAACCCATTTTCACACTTCATGTTGTACAACAGGTTTGGGTAAATGGTACTTTCACACACTTGTCTACAACAAATACAATACACAAGCAATGTGTTTCTTTTGGTTTTCCAATCAACATTTGATACAGTATGTACTCAAAATATAACAATAATAAAAAAAGAGGATAATGTGAGCTTCTGCATTTACATTCATAATCAGGTCAAAAGGAACTAGCAGTCTGACTTACAGGAATACAGCAAACCTGTATGGGTTGTTTTGGCTCACTATTCTGTGAAAGCACTGTAGAAGGGGATGCAGATGTAGTGTACATTATGATCAACAATCTTTAAAGTCCCCAAGGCTGGAGGCACGGTTTTTACTAACGTTTTGGGAATAATATTGTGAGGTAGGCTATTAAATATGTAGCTTTACACAAAGACATCACACAGAGGCTACATAGGCCTACAGTATGAGGTGAAGTCAGAAAAGTAATAGTGTGAAGTAGGATCTATCTAAATGGTTAGTTATCATTGATAATAAGCTAATCCATGTGAATATTACACATAAACCACCATCACTATTGAAGTGATAGTAAAGTAAATATCTTCTATAAACATATTATGATATATGGGGTCCGTGTATCATCTGATCATTCAGTAGAGAATGTGAAGGCACGTCACACCGTGTTGAATGTTGCGATGGCAGCGCCATTTTGGGAAGTGTGTGCTATATTTACCTGCATACATTCTTGCTTTGCTTGGCAAAAAATCTGCTTAAATCATTTCAATCTCACTTTACTGACTGTGGTAATTCAGAATGGATAACCTTAGCTGACTGTAACTACTTGTATCAGACCTAGAGATTTTGTCAACAAAAATCACTCTGCACCCTGATCTCAGCTCACATGCAGCACTAGCTGGGACACCAGTGTTGAACTTTATTAAGACTTTTCACATTGTTGGCAGAAAAAAAGTCTATCTCTTTCCTTTTATGAGTCAAAATTAGTTTCATTAGTTAACTGCACAAAAAGATGACAAAAATGTAATTTAACTACTTCAGTCAATACACAAATATGAATGTAGTTGAACTTCCACCAAGCTACTGCAAGCTACTAGTTTGCTTACATGTAGTTCTGCAACACTGCTAACCAACTCAGAAATGTTTTGTAAAAATTGTGTTCACAAACACACTTTTATTAAAGTTTTCTGAAAATGTAGCCTGCTCTGCTACGAGGAAACAAAAGTAAAACACATATGCTTTGAAGAACATTTTAAAGACAGTAACTACCCGCTACTGTCCTCACCTGTTCCTCTATAACTCAACAGGCAAACCAGGGATTCTGGTGAATTTAAACAGTCAGATGAAAGGAAACTGTGTCAAAAGAGCACGCCCTGCCTGCTTCAGACTCTGCTTGGCACTTGTTGATGCAAGTACTTTCCAGCAAATCAGTTGTTCCTGTCTTTTGCTACCTATTACCCAACCTGTTTAGTTTGTTGGGCCTGCCGCCCGTCTATCCCCAGCCTGCCCTATAGGCTCTCTGATTGGTTTTTGGCTGTTGTATCTGTATGCCATTTGCTTATGTTTCTGCCTGTTCTCCCTTTTTTTGTATTCAATGAGTTCATTGCATTTTTTTATTCAGCTGAAGAGGACAGTATTTTTTGTTAATGTTTTTGGTGCCTTGTGCATACTCTTAAGTTGTGAGGAGATTCCCTGCCTGTTTCCAGCTGCTTTTGATTACCAGGCAGATTATTGTTCTCTGCCTTGTGGACAATGATCCATCATCAAAGTCAACGTGTTTATTTGTCATATGCACAGTTAGGAAACATGTTTCCCTGTACAATGAAATTCTTACTTTTCTGTCCACACGAATGCAACAAAATACAAATAAAATATAAAGTAGATAAATAAGTAACACAAAATCTAAGCCACTTTAAGCAGCAAATGTAGAGATATAATAAAAATATATAAGAATATAATAAGA